GAAAGAGGATGACAGGTAAAATATACTTCTGTTTCTATAGATCTATTCTTCTTCCTCCTCTACCAGGACCCTTCTTGTCTTCCCTGTTTTTCCCCTTTTCTTAGCTTGCTCTCTATGTTCGCGGCAGCTTTTTTTTGCTTTCAGTCATGATGCTTTCATATTTAAGCAAGTTTCACTCTCAGCTTCAGTGAACTTGTTCTGCATACCAAATGATGCAGCACACTAACTTGACTCATTATTATACATGCAACTATAGCAGAATTTTTTTAAATTGGTTTAGATTGGAGTTTGGGTTTGATTATTATAAGCAATAGAAGTTGTAAGGTTCCTCATTATACTCCCTGCCTGAATTATTTCAGGGACAAATCTTTTGTTCAGTGATAGCTCATCAATATCAAAACCATCTTGACTTTCATTTGTGCAGTACTAAAGAACAAAATTTGGATTTTTTTTTTAATGTGCTTTATGTAGGCTGATAGATGTGTATATTGATCGACAATCAACGTAGATAAGCAGAGTCTTCCCTTTTTTTTGTTCCATGTGAATAACTGTTGTGGGTTGCTGTATTGTGGAGGAGTCACGTACTTCTGCTGCTGTATTGTGTCCAGAAACATTTCAGCACAATTGACTCTGGTTTTATCAGATAATAATTTAGATTTATACATTTTAACACAATTCCTTTCAACCACGACTTCGAATGTAAATGAGTCGCATTTTGTATTGCAAAATCCATTTAATTTGCATTAACAGAAATATTCCTTCTTTCTTCATTAGCAAAAAAAAAAAAAAAAAGAGTTTGAGATCTGCTGAATATTTTTGAACCCCTTCTCACCTACACAAGAAAATCTCTGAAAAAAAAAATACTTTCTTTTACCTGCTAATTCTGCACTACCTATAGATAGTAGGTGTCTTTATGGGTGCCTTGGTACACATGTTCCAGGGACTGCTAAATGGTAGTGTGGGAAAGGATGTTTTAAAGACCTTTTTGTCTCCTGGCTCCCACTAAGTTCCCAGTTGAATGGAACAGGAAGTCCTGCCTCTCAAAAAGCATGACCTTGTTCCCGCTTTCCAGGTTTCACTCAGGTTATTCTTCAGCCAAAATGCTGTCCCTCAGAGAAAGTAAGGTCCTCTTTGAGAAACAACTTCTTGTTCCCCATGTCCCAAAGCACCACATCTACATGTTTCTTGACCCCCTCCAGGGATGGTGACTCCACCACTTCCCTGGGCAAATTTTGCCCACTTCACCCATTTTGACCACTCTTAGTATATAAACTGTGAATAAATAGGAAAGTTTATCTATATCCACCTTCGTTTCCCATGCTATAAGAAGTGCTCATCTTCTTAGTATTTGTTTGGGGGTGTCATGGCTTAACCCCCGCTGGCATAAACACCACACAGCCTCTCGCTCACTCCCTCTGGTGGGATGGGGGAGAGGATTAGAAGAGTAAAAGTGAGAAAACTTGTGGGTTGAGATAAAGGCAGTTTAAGAGCTAAAACAAAAGCCACACACACAAGCAAAGCAAAACAAGGAATTCATTCACTACTTGCCGTCAACAGGCAGGTGTTCAGCCATCCCCAGGACTAGCTAAAGCATCCCTCTGTTTTCAGGTGGTAACACAGCATAAATCCAAAACATAGCCTCATAGTAGCTCCTATGAAGAAAATTAACCCTATCCAAGACAAAACCAGCACATAGGGTAAGAAGGAAACTGAAAAGCACAGATTTGTACTATATAGGTACAGGTGTAGGACCATCCCATAGAATTATAGAATGGTTTGGGTTGGACAGGACCTTAAAGGTCATCTAGTTCCAACCCCCCTGCCATGAGCAGGGATCCCTCCCACTACATCAGATATAGGTGTGTATATATATATATATATACACATTTATATACACCCATAGTTGTGTATCATTAGCATACTGAAATATCATGACTTGTGTATTCAGTGGACAAACCTGAAAGCAGGATGGGTCTTAAGCATTGTTGTAAATTTATTGCCTTTACTTGTTTGTCTGGCAATTTATAAGGTACCTTATACCTGGCAATTTATAAGATACTTACAAGTTAACAACTTCAGCTTTCCAAAAAAATGTTTTCAGACACACCACCAATATTAAACAATCACCAAAGTGTCACTTAATAAAGAAACATACCAGTAGGTATTTCAGAGACCCAACAAAACCAAAGCAACCCGTTCATCCATCACAGAATAGCAATGAATTGTCATCTAGTTCTTGAGATCTGGGGCATCAAGAAAAGCTGTATTGCAGATGGGAATTTTCAACATATATTTTTACTTCAGAAGTGCATCTTTAGTTGAACTTTTCCTCTGGGCAAACTGCAATGGAGGGGCTGCTCTCAGTCACTCCATCATCAAAAATTAGCTCGTTAAGGACACATCATACCTCTTGCTGTCACTGTGCTTAAATACTTTATGAGTAATGGTAATGCTCACACTAAGGGCTTCACTCTGCTGAGATCATGGGTGGGTTCAATGTAACTTAAATGACCGTGGAGACAGATATCCATCATGGATTCGTCCCATGCCTATTTTAAAGACTCCCTCAGTGCAATAAACTCCATTAGCTTTTGGAGCGCTGGAGCACAATAAATCAATAAATCTCTTCTGGCAGAAATAGCTGCAGCATCAGATTTTGCCTTCATTAAACCTTGTAAAACTAAACCTTGGCATATGGTTGACCTACAGGGAAAACATAATTGTGTTATTTCTTGGCACTACATGTTAGTAAACAGAAGGCACGGATCACGCTTCCCTGTTGTAATTTTTAAGGATTCTTTACGCACAGTTCCCTGACATTATTTCTTATTCCAGCTCCCTGATGATATCAGGGACCAAAAAAAGCCCTCTTAGATCTAATGTGTAAGTATTCATAATTTTTATTGGAGGAAATCTGTTTAAGACTGTGCTAAATCTTAACCTTCCTTAACATTTTTTTAAATATCGGTCCTAAGCATTAATTCTGATAGTCACAACGGTTTTGTTATCATGAATAAACAGCAATTGTAATCACAAATCAGGATTTCACTGTGCTACACACTGTTGTAATACAGAAGAAAAAAACCACCTCTGTTCCAAGCACAGAGTCTGAATCATGAGATGACATATGGGTCCAGAGAGGGAAACACGGGAGAAGTAAGAAACATTCCACGTGGCAGGAGAGTGACAGTATTGGGCTGGGGACATCTTGACAACAGAGAGTACAAAGGAGAGATTTGAAGAAGGAAAATAAGATAGCTTTGTGAATGTTTCTGGAGAGCTCTTTTCAAGCATTACAGGCAATGAGGAAAAAACATGAAGTGCTTACTGAAAATATGTCAAGTGGATGATGGGGCAAGTCTGATGAGCAGCAGGAGCTGATCTTCCAGTCTTGAATGTGAGAAGATACATGTGATAAGGAACGACTGTTAAAATACTAGAAAATAAAGCTTAATTATGCACAACTGGATAAAAGACAGTATAGCTTTCTACTGATGTATGGAGACTGATGACACAGCCACACTGAAAGGCCACGAAATTTATTTTCCTACAGTATCCTGGAAGGGATTAATGTAGGTAAATTGCCAGGGCTGGAGAAAAGCACGGCAGCAGCTGGCATCTGAAATCGTGAAAGTGGACAAAACAATTAACTGTGTGGGTGAACAGAGGGGGTGGAGACGTGAAATAGAAAGCATGTGCAAGTCACAAACAAGTGGACTGAATAGGAAGCCTGAAGGAAAAGAGCTGCCCAAATAGCAGGTGTACATGGCACGCGTG